CATAAAAAAACTGTTTCCTGTGATCACTTTTAAAGAACTTTTTCAACAAATTAGAAACATAAGTGAATGGCCCTTCAGAATGTTGCTGGGGGTTCTAACCGGTAGGGGACTTATGGATTGCTTGCAATACTATGATAATTGCTTGTTAAAAATGATATTCATTGGATAATTTATTTTTTTTTTTTTTTTTAAATTTAATCTTACAATCTCGGGATAAGTATAATTTAATTTTAATTGCATTTTGATTGTCAAAGGGAAATTTTTACTTGTTTCAGACCAGATATAAAATATATTTAGACTGTTACTAATACTGCTGTGTGGCAAAAGACAATTCCATCTTATTAAACATACAAGTCAACCACCATTAAGAACATTGGTGATAAATGATTAATGTTTGGAAATTTCTAGCTATTATTGATGTATGCTAATAGCTGTCTGTTTTTCTTCTCTTTCAAACAGGTTGCCAGAGACTTTGAAGAAGAGATGGATCTATTTGCTGCACAACTTTCTGCCAGAACTAAGACACTTAGAAGCTACAATATCAGAAAAAAACAACCATGACATTGATTTTATCCGTTGTATGCTGCAGAGCCATGGAGCTGTTTGAACCGATGGCAAACCATTGCTAAGACACTGGTTTCTCAACCTGACCATTTGATGCCATTGCCAGACCAGACTGTTAATCTGCCAAATTCCAGGCTCTCTGTAGGTGGTGAGTGCATTGAAGAAGAGGATCTTAAAACACTGGATTATGGACAATGGCTGAATGATAAGGTACTTTAAATCACTATTTACTCTTGTTTTAAAGTAACAACTGTTCTTGATGATGATTCAGCTTATAAGAATATTACATGGGCCACCTGTGTGGACCATAATAGCTAGCTTGAGGGTTACAGTTCAAGGCAGTACTAGGCTCTGCTTTAACACAAGGCCATTCTTTCATTTTATTAATCAAAAGCTCAAAAAACAAGTACAGGTCCAGCAATAATGTTTGATTCAAAGCTACTCTTATACATATATTTAGACAAACATAGGTACATTTTTGCAATGGAAATCAACTGCAAATGATAATAGTAGTAATAATAATTTATTTATATATTTGTGTATTGTCTATTTTTGAACATTTCAAGAATTGTTTGTGGAAATAAAGTCAAGTAGAAATAAAGGTCTTGAGAACCATTTTCAGGGAGTTACCTCCCTCTCATGTACAAAGAGCATATTAAAACCTGAAACAAACCAATGTCAGTGGAATACTTGTTTAATATTATGTTGATTTATATTTCATATCATTTGCAGATAATAAATGCATTTCTTGGATTGCTCAAAACACAGATGAATGTAACTGACATATTTGTGTTCCCATCCTACACAGCGGTATTATGGGAGAATGGCAACCTTGGCCATTGGCTATTTAAAAAGGTAAAAATAAACCCTTGTAAAATATTAATATAATTTTATTGTCCAGACATAAGCCTGTTAGTCCGGAAGTTTATTACGTGAATACAAATCTTGGTCATACTAATTTTGAAAATGGTCAACTTTATTCTGAACTTTTTTAAAGAAGAAAAAAAAGTAATTCTATGTACATGTTGTCATTGCCGTCCTTAAAACTTTTTTTTTTAAAAATTCTTAATGGATTACCTTCATACTTGGACACAACAACACTTTGGACAAGCCATTCAAGTTGACCAGACTGATCTTGACCTTCACTCCATAAATGAACTTTGATACTTATTAAAGACGTTTTTCCGGAGTTTTCATGAAGACATATAGGCAAATTTAATTAAAACTGTTCTGAATCAATAGAATTTCTTTAAATTTGGAATGTTATCAGAATATGATAACTGAAACATTTTAAACAGAAAAAAATTTGGGGTCACCAAACTCCGTTTAAATGCTTTTCACTCAAATCCGACTAAGAAAAGCATAAAAAATATGATTTTCTATTTATTTCAAAGTATATTTCTTAACTATATTTGCATATATTTGTGTTTAAAGTGCCCCACCTCATTTATGTAAGAAATTCAAATGTTATGTTTTTAGGCTTTTAAACCTCAGTGGAGTCCCTTTGTCTACTTTCTGTTTTTGTCTCTTGATTATGAACTTATTGATCTTATAGTTATTTATTTTTACTTAACATGAAAAATATTCCATAGAAGTAAAATGACACATACCTTCTTGTTGTTTTACCTTCCTCAATATTGGATGGAAGCACCGAATCACGGGAAAATTTGCACTGTTTCACGTACCCGACAGTGATCAACATTCCTGTAAACTTTCATGACTCTACTTCAAATACTTTTTGAGCTACGTGTGACACAAGTTGAAAATTGAAAATTTTTCCTAAGTTAAGGGCAATAATACTTTTTGAGCTACATGCGACACAAGTTGAAAATTGCAATTTTTACCAAGTCAAGGGCAATAACTTTAAAAATACTAAATATATCCACACGAAAATACCCAGGTGCACAACTTCACATGCTGATATAACATAAAGTTTCTTGACTGCTAGGTCAAATAATATTTGAGCTACGTGTGACACAAAATGTGAACAGATGGAAGCGATGGACAGGCAAGCGTAAATCTAAATCCCCCCCCCCCTAAAGTGGGGGCACAAAAATACAATTTACCTATAACATGAGAGTTAAATAATTTTATACTGATACAGAAACTTCTGGATTTCTCTAGCACTGTTTATATACCTTATCAATATAAAAGTGTTGTATAGCCTTATCAGTATGAAAAATATGGTTGGATATACAAATTAATGCAATTTTGAACATAACAGTAAAATGTTTATGCTTAACTAAAATATTTCAGGGACAGTTTCTGAAGTTCAAGCATCTTATCTTACCAATAAATGTCAATGGTAATCATTAGGTTTTACTGCATGCCAACACAAGGGACAGAACTGTAACTATACTGGATTCTATGAATGATAAAAGTGCAGAGAAATTCATCAGTTTATGGAGGTATGTACAGCTGAACTTCTTTCCCAACAGATATTAAACTGAATTTTGCTATATTACTGAATTTTGTCCAAGAACTATAAAAAAATTGTGCCGTTCGTGGTAGGTTCAATCAAACCAAGGCACATTTTCATTTTGCCGCTTCGGGCATATTGCTTGTGGGATGGATTCTGGTTTCCCTCTATTTTTAAGTAATTTTGGTTGCTTTGAACTTCACCTACGCAACTGTCCTCAGTATTGTTTTCAAGATGATAAACTCAAAATTGATATGGAGTCAGTGTAATACAAATTGAAATTCTTCTTTGAAGAACTTTCTTTCTTCATCGTGTATAGTATAATTATATTTCATTAAGATGTACCTATAATTACATTGTATTTTTGTTCGTGCGAAATCACGGCCGAGTTATAAAATAAAAAAGGCAGTTTAGAATTTTCACCTAATGATCACAGATGTTAAAAAATCCAACTTTATAATTTCTAATTTGACATTTTAAACAGACACAGTATCTGACGTTGGATATCATAAACTATTCAATTTCTAAGTAAGGTTATCAGAAATTCCTTTTTGTATTCGCTGCGTTAGCAGTGAATACAGTTCTATCACAATTTGCGGGATTGCAATAGAAGAATGGGTACCGAACAACGCAAAGTAGTTCTACACAGATTTTCTTGTCACACACAAGTGATAAGATTTTGAATTGTCAGTAGTTCATTTTTAGCTCGACTTTTCTATGAAAAGGGGAGCTATCCTACTCGCCCCGGCGTCGGCGTTAGCGTTGGCGTCACACCTTGGTTAAGTTTTTCGTACCACCCCACTTTATTTCAGAAGTATTACAAGTATGGCTTTGAAACTTACCATACTTGTTCACCATCATAACCTCCATCTACAGACAAGAGTACATAACTCTGTCAAGGTTTTTGACAGAATTATGGCCCTTTTTTGACTTAGAAAGTGTATTGAGCTTGGTTAAGTTTTTTGTACCACCTCACTTTATTTCAAAACCATTGGAGGTATTGCTTTGAAACTGACCATACTTGTTTACCATCACGACCTTCATCAACAGACAAGAGGACATAACTCTGTCAAGGTTTTTGACAGAATTATGCCCCTTTTTGACTTAGAAAATACATTGAATATGGGTAAAATCCACTTATTGCCTTAACCCTTTGAGATATTGCTTTGAAACTTTTAATGCTATTTCACATCATTACCCCCATCTGTACGCAAGAGAAGGTAACTCTGTCAAGGATTTGTTTTAAAAATTAAGGCCTTTTATCGACTTAGAATCTTGGTTAAGTTTTTAGTACCAGTCCACTTTTTGACTGAACTGTTTGAGATATTAATTTGAAAGTTGGAATACTTGTTTACCATCATGGTCCCAAAACATGGGCAGGAGAAGGTAATTCTGTTAAGGATTTTATTTGAATTATGGCCCTTTTTGACTTAGAAACTCAGTTAAGATTTTCATTCTTGTCCACTTGTTGACTTAACCATTTGAGATATTACTTTGGAAGTTGGAGTTCTTATGTGCCATCATGAGACCTATCTGTAAGCAAGAGAAGATAACTCTGTGAAAATGTTTCTTGATTTGTACTTAGAAATTCCTAGTTAAAGTCTTGTGTGCCCTTAACTGTCAAAGTTTTGTTTTATAGGCAAGCACTAAAAAAGTCGAGCGCGCTGTCCTTCTGACAGCTCTTGTTGATTGTGTTATTTCTATCGTATATTATTTGCATGTTTTCAGGATATAATCAGTAAAAAATAGCATTAGTATTCATTCGCGTTAACTTTGCGTAAGGAAGTAGTTCGTGCCAAAACAAAGTTTTCTACGTGAAAGCTGATCTCATCATTTTCTAAAAGTAGGTACAGAAAACTTACCAATATTATTTGAACTTAATTTTATTCTGTTTTGGAATTTCTTATTTGGATTTCATGATGCATAACAGTGTTGATAATTCAGGTGTCTTGATATATTTTTTTTGTTGTTTGAGTTGTTTCCCTTGTTTTCCCGCAATAACACTAGTTTTGTCTATGTTTAAGCGGCTTTGTTTGTAAAAAGTTCAAAGTGTTCTTAATTTATTGGAAATATGGATTATTGATAGTTGGTCAGTATTATTTTGAGTTGCATTTGGTTTAAATTAGTGTTTTATAGAGTGTATGTCATAGATGATTTTTTAATTATGTATATTATATAAGTAACGAGTGTGGTCTGATTCGAAATGTCATCAGTTTTCGTGATTTGGAACCTTTGAGAATTATTTTCAGAAAAATCCGTTAATCTAGCTCTCTGTTTACTTAATTTCACAATTTATTCATATCACTTTGCACATTGTGTTTATTATATTTTGCAGAAGTTACAGCAGAGAGTGAGAGAGTTTGACAGTATGCGTGTTTGAAGAAGATAATGCTTTTATTGGTACATTCAATTCCACAAACTGGTGAGTTTAGAATTTATTTATGATTATGATGTATTTTATAATAACTTCATTAAATGAACTTATGATTGTGGCGGCCAATAGAAAGCATATAGCTATATTATAAGTTAATATACCTACAGGTTATATAAGCTGTTCAATGTGTTGTAAATATTTAATACACCGATAAACACTTTCAGAACTAGCAGACGAGAGGCTTTTCTTATCAGTAGTTTTAGGAATAAAGATAACCGGTTGTTTTCTCACTACATAAATTGTATGTAAAATGGTCTGACATGTGGTAGGGTTAACTGTTCATTTGAATACTTTGTGGAGTCAAAAGATGTGTTGAAGAATATACTGTGATGAAGCTAAGATCCAACGTTTGCTATTGGTGTAATTCATTTTAAAAGCGGACATTTAATCAGAACAAACTAGCGGTTTTGTTTAAGCATAAGAGATATCAAGTTTACTCGAAGATAAGGGAAGCAACTTGTATTTTTTCACTTGATATACCTCGGTTATTTACGTAGATCATATAGAAAGTGTGAATGGGTTTATTGTAATTGACCATAAATTTGGAGGATTTTATTTAAATGATAATTATGCATTTTCAGACAAAGGAAATTGATTTAACTCTATTTTTATGTTGATGTAATTTGTTTAATTTCAGAGTGTTGATTTCCTCGATTTCATTGACTCGATGATTCATTCTTTGATTTCTAATGATCAATCAACTTATTGATAAATTTGATTTACGGATTGATTGGACATGTCATGGAGCTAAATATAGATGGAGAAGTAACTTAGACGTCATACAGTTAAATTCAGTATTATTGGGGTTGTTCTAGTGCAAGTTATCATGTGTTTCGGGATTTTCCAAGATTTGATGCATCCTGGGTAATAGTAGCAAAAATACCGCCATATTCAATTCCAAGAGGAACATTGACAAAAAAAGACGAAGCATTTTCTACTTACATAAGAAGCAATAGTTATTTATGTTAAAACGTACCATACACACTTTTCCACACAGATATTTTTTTACTTGAAAAATATTATTTTTTACTATGACTTTTTTAGTTTCAAAGGCATCTACCTCTTACTTCAAATACATATTCCTTATCATCAATTACATCTTATGTGACTAGGTTCATAATTTACTCTTAAAGCAATATTTCCAGGTTAATATCCCTTTGAACTTTTTTTTAAAGAAATATTATAAGTAATTTAATTTACTTTTTAGCTCACCTGAGCAATGCTCAGGGTGAGCTATTGTGATGGCCCTGTGTCCGTCGTCGTGCGTCCTCAACTTTTAACATAAACAACATCTCCTCTGAAACCAATGACTGCACATCCATCGACCAAACTTTACAGAAATGATCCTTGGGTGGGCCCCTTTCAAAGTTGTTCAAATGGTTCCGGTCTGTTGCATATGTAGGTCATAGGGCCAGAAAAAGATTTCAAAAAACACAAAATTAAAAAATCTTCTTGTCTGAAAGTACATGGGCCAGAGCTTTGATTTTTGGTATATGGTATCATTATGGGTCCTCTACCAAAGTTGTTCAAATTTTGTCCCTAGTGTCAAAATTGGCCCCGCCCTGGGGGGTCATAGGTTTTTCCTTAATATATGTATATAGTAAAATCTAAAAAAATCTTCTTCTCTGATTTGGCAAAGGCTACAGATTAGATATTTGGCATGAAACATTGTGTAGTAGACCTCTATCAAGATTGTTCAAATAATGGCCGGGGGGTCATTGATTCTCATTACATACATATAGTGAAAACTTGAAAAATCTTCTGGTCTGAAAGTAAATGGCCTAGAGCTTTGATATTTGGTCTATGGTATCACCTATAGGTCCAAAACCAAACTTGTTCTAATTTTGTTCCTAGAATTAAAATCGGCCCCGCCCTGGGGGGTCATTGATTTTCCCTATATGTATATAGTGAAAACTTAAAAAATCTTCTTTTAAAGAACCCAAAGAGCTAGAGCTAAGATATTTAGCATGAAACATCTTCTAATGGTTGTCTACCAAGTTTGTTCAAATAAAAGCCCTGTGGTCAAAATTGGCCCCGCCCCAGGGGGTCATTGATTTTCCCTATATGCACATAGTAAAAACTTTAAAAAAATTCTTTTAAAGAATGTAAAGAGCTAGAGCTAAGATATTTAGCATGAAATATGTTCTAATGGATGTCTACCAAGTTCGTTCAAATAAGAGCCCAGGGGTCAAAATTGGCCCCGCCCTGGGGGTCATTCATTTTCCTTATATGCATATAACAAAAACTTAAAAGATCTTTTTTGATGAAAAAATCAAATAGCTAGAGTTTAGATACTAAGCATGAAACATCTTCTAGCGAGTGTCTTCCAAGTTTGTTCAAATAAAAGCCCTGGGGTCAAAATTGCCCCGCCCCGGGGGTCATTCATTTTCCTTATATGTGTATAGCAAATACTTAAAAATTTTCTTCGAAAAAACCTGAATAGCTAGAGTTCTGATATTAAGCATGAAACATTGTCTAGTAAGTGTCTACAAAGATTGTTCAAATAAAAGCCGTGGGATCAAAACTGGTCCTGCCCCAGGTGTGTCATTGTTTTTAACTATATGTGTAAAGAAAAAAACTTGAAAAAATCTTCTTTTAAAAAACCCAACTAGCTAGACCTTAGATGTTTAGCATGAAATATCTTCTAATGGGTGTCAACCAAGATTGTTCAAATAAAAGCCCTGGGGTTTAAACTGGCCCCGCTCCGGGGGCCTATATACAGGTGAGCGACTTTGGGCCATCATGGCCCTCTTGTTTATATTTCTTATCATTACACATATGTTGTGTGACAAGCATGACTATTTCCAGAATTACCCCCCACCCCACCTTGAACTTATTCATGGAATTTATGTAAGCAAACGTTCTTAGTTTCATAGTTTTGTCTTCCATACCAACTTATCTCAGCCTCTTGATATTTGGTATACAGTATTGACGTGGTCCCATACCGTCGGATTTGATTTCAGGTCTGTCGCTCACCAAGCCCCATTTACCGTTAAATTTTCAACATTAATGGTCAATGGTAGGAAATTTTTGTGACAGATTTTTTAGCAACTACTTATCACAGGCTCTTGATATTTGACAAACAGCATTGACACATGGTCTTATACTGTGGGATTCGATTTCAAGTCTTTCATTCATCCACTTCCTGTTAACTGTCTTATTTAAATTTTCCACATTAATGGTCAGTGGTAAATATTTTTCAAAACATTACAGCATCATGATATTTGGTATAGAAATGCAACCCGACCTTTTCTGTCTTTGACCCATTTTTTTTTTTTTTTTTTTTTTAATTTTGAAATCATTCATTTATTATTGTTGAAATCTACTTATAATACCTTTAAAATACCATGTTCCCAGTACTTTTTATGTACATGCTTAAGTTGTTCTTAACATACACAAAACAAACTTGTACATTCCTTTATTAGAAATTGTCTTTTTTATATAACCAGGCACAAGTGACAAGATAATATTTATGTATATGCTATTATCATTGTGGACACAAACTGTAAACAAAGGTATCATTTTTGATTCTAGTCAAAGTAAAAACAAACAGTGATTGCACTAGAGTTATATAAGAAAGTTTGTGGGAGCTTTACATGCTCATAACATTTCTATCTTTGTCAGAGAAATATTTGATTTCTGAGAACTATTTTGACTTCAATTTCCGAAGAAACATGACACTACACCCCAAATTTAAATGCATAATAACTATTACATTTGTTTGACTTAACTGTTTCTTATGGTCAATAGTGTTACATGTATATAATTTTTTATGTTCATTTTACATTTGCTTGTTTTTCTATCATTTCAATCCATAATGTCTTAATCATTATATAATTTGATAATACCTTAATTATGTAGCATTGTAGCATTGTTTTATGATTTACATTGTATTTGCAATTTTGTGAACATTTATCAGTAAGTAATATTCTTAATAAAAGAAATTTCACAATTGATATGAAGTACCAAGCCATTTATAGAGTGTGTTTCCGATTTATGAAAATGTTTTTAACAAATGACTTAAAATTGAGCAATCACCATACTTTCTAGCATAAGAATCTTAAAATAAAATTACTTAAATTGCAAGCAAGTTGCAATTTTATACATGAGATAAACTTATCGTGACCAAATTTGTTTTTCATGTTAGCAAGTTCTGTATATATGCTTTAATTAGAAAAGAACACTGATTATGTATGAAGTAACTGAATGTTTGTCATGCAACATTAAATTGGGTAAAATTCAGACTATTAGATAAGGCGATGTACTTATTAATGCTGTTATAATTACATGTATTATTATTGTGAGTAAAAAGGTTCTGGGGATATTTCTATCATGTTTTAACGAGGGGCATAGATAATATACATTGTTTACTTTTTAGCTCGACTATTCGAAGAATATGAGAGCTATTGTAGTCGCGTCGGCGTCAGCGTCGGCGTCTGCGTTGGTTAAAGTTTTTTGTAAAGTCAAATATCTCAATTATTACTTGAGATATTCAATTGAAACTTACAATACTTATTTATAGTAACAAGGTACATCAGATTGACAAGTTGGATAACTCTGCCTACAATATTGACAGAATTATGCCCCTATTTAACTTAGAAATTTTGGTTAAAGTTTTTTGTAAAGTCAAATATCTCAATTATTGCTGGAGATATTTAATTGAAACTTACAATACTTATTGATACTAACAAGGTACATCAGATTGACAAGTTGGATAACTCTGCCTACAATATTGACAGAATTATGCCCCTTTGGAACTTAGAATTTTGGTTAAAGTTTTTTTGTAAAGTCAAATATCTCAATTATTGCTTGAGATATTCAATTGAAATTTAAAATACTTTTTTATAGTAACAATGTACATCAGTTTGCAAAATTGCATAACTCTGCCTGCAATATTTGCAGAATTATTTGCCCCTTTGAAACTTAGAAATTTGGTTAAAGGTTTTCAAAGATATTTACTTGAAACTTTACACATGCACTTAGGGTCATAATTGGAAGGTCATAATTGTATGTCACTGACCAAGTTCCATAACTCTATCTTGCATTAAGGCTGATTCATATCCCCTTTTCTACTTAGTCTCTTGGTTAATGTTTACATGCAAGTTTTACATATCTCAATAACTATTAAAGAAATTTATTTAAAACTTCACATATGATTTAGGGTCATAATTGTAGGTCACTGACAAGATCCATAATTCTATCTTGCATTTAGGTGGATTTTTTTCCCCTTTTTTCAACTTAGAAATTCATGGTAAAGTTTTGCTTGTAAGCTGTTATATCAACAACTACTGAAGGGTTTGTGCCTTTTTTGGGACAATTTTATGCATTCATGATAATAAAGCAGTGATTTACTTGATAAAACATCTTAATAACAAGCCTTTGTACCTTTTCTGTCAAATTTATGTATTCATAGGTAATTTAAATATTATTATACTCAATAAAACACCCTTGTGACATTTCCTTCCGAATAGTCAAGCCAATACTGTATAATTAGACTCTCTCTAAGGCCTATAACATGAATTTATAAAAAAAAAATTAGCCCTTTTGTGAACTTAAAAGATTTAACATTATCAAGGCTCTTTTGCTATCAAGCACTTAGAATAGTCGAGCGTGCTGTCCTACCGACAGCTCTTGTTAGCTCACCTGTCAGAAAGTGACAGGGTGAGCTTTTGTGATCGCTTGTTGTCCGTCCGATCAAAAACTTTTACTTTAAATGACATCTCC